ATTGCACTCAATATTTAATGAAAATTAATTCATCTCGGATGTCCTCGACTGGATCAATATAACATTTACTCGTGCTTATTGAAAAACATATTAAGCACTTAAAATATTTGTCAATTCAGATTCAAACAATCTTGTGATTTTAGTGATTATTATCAGTTTTCAAAAATCTTGTTTTTATTCTAACAATCATCAACATTTACGGTTCAGTTCCTTTAACATCGCGTGCGAAAATGACACACTTTTCGGTTTGTTGAACTTACTTTAATTATGCAGTAACACTCACGATGAAAAACATTTGTTTTCGTGTGCTCTCATCACCCAAATTCAAAAAGGATTTGAAGATAATCAAGACTAATGGATATACACATCCTTTTGACATTTTCTATAGAATTTGGATATACTTTTATGTAGGACACATTTTGCTTCTTATTATTGTTGTGTTTTGGATTCTTAAGACTTATAAATTAGCATGAATGGCAAAAAATCTCAATTGGATATAGATATTTGGGTTTTATATATTCTAAGTCCATAAATCATTTTATAAACAACTTCAACTAGAGTTTCATGCTGTTTACTACAATTTTATCTTCAGCCTAGATTTTATACAATATCGATTGTTTCATTAAATCCTTTGCTCCACTTTAACATGTTGTTACGAACATTTTTTGAATTTTAAGTCGTTCCTGCTACAATGTTCTGCTAATCACTTCGTGGAATAATATTATCTGTGGAATGCGAAGAAAATGCAAATTTTAAAATATTTTGTTACGTAGAAGGACATTTAAAGTATTTAAGAATATTATGAACAGGATTCTTATCGGCCAAACAGGTACGTTTTGCATAACGATTTTATTGCCGTAGCAATGGTTTGGAGACAACTCGAAAATTACCGAATTTTATGTGAAAATGTCGATTTTATAAGACCGCAACCTTAGTTATATGAGGCTAGTTATTCTAAACTAGCAACAACTTCCTGACTGCGTCACTGACAATGCATAACATTCATAATTTAAGTAAATATTACCAAGATCATTAAAAATCATTGAGCTCAAAAAAACAAAAATTGATAACTTAATTAATAACGTCAAAGTCATCAAAATGAACACAAACTTTTACATGACAACTCAAATCATTTTGATAAGAAAATCCGGGAAATATTTGACGAAAGCATTAACATTTCAATGACACTTAAGAGGAGGAAAAGTTTTCTAATTACATTTGCATTTGAACAAGAAAATGTCAATAAAACCAAGGAATTCAAAATGTTTGTTTATATCTTAATTCAAGAGGCAACATCAAGCAGAATTTTATTTAATATCGTCTGAAATGAAATTTTAAAGTCAAGGTCATTTTTGTTATTCTTAGCAACATACATGGAAATTACAGGTTTAAATAACTCGAATCGAGATGATAAGCTAATTTAATGCAAATTTAAGCACATAATTTAAACAAATAGAACCTCTTCTAAAATGAGCTAATTGAATATTCAATCCGGTTCTAGTTTCGTTCTCCTCGTTTGAGTTCATACATTTTGCAGTTCCAGAAAAATTTTTGACTCAATTTTGCTAACCTAATTTGTTTTATTATCGCAACTTTTTGTTGTTATCAAGCGAGCTAGCTTTAAATTTTTTGACAGTAATGCAAATGTAAGTAATCTAAAGAACAAAAAAAGGTTATCACACAAATCAAAAAGATAATTCTTAAATATTTATTTTTCAACTTAATAAGCCATTCCTATTGGTCCTCGATTTGAGTAGATCCAATTTGAATAGATTCAATTTGAGCAACAGTAATTAATGAATGAAAGATTTAAAATTTATATTTTGTAACGGACATTTTTCATACAAAAAGTAAATAATTTGATTTGAGTAGATTCGATTTGAATAGGATTTTTCTGGAACAAAAACACCTACTCAAATCGAGGACCCCCAGTACTTAACACGTTTAATTGAACAACAACACAAATAAATACCAAAATAATTTTAATAGCCTTTACGAATTAATTAAAAATTCATTAAATTATTATAAGTACCTATTTAAAATTTATTTGAGTCAGTTATCAGTTGAGAGCTACGGATGAACTGCTTCTGACTTATCAGTAACCAGTTGAGTACAGTATCAATTGTGAGTAATTAAGAAATGATTCAGAATGTTTAAAAAAACAAAACTTAAAAGGTCAGTAGTCTTATGATGAGTATTTCTATATCAAGTGTTGACAGATTATAGTGAAGTTAACTTCGAAGAACAAAACATAATCAGGTGAATTAAACTTATCTGATAAAGCTAGGAAGATTACTGTAATCCGGAGTAAAATACCTTAATGACTTTAGATTTCAGATAACAAAGTTTCTTTACATGCAAGATTATGAGCTCCTATTTAATTTTGGATATTTTTATCGCTTCGATCATTTAAATCTAAATCAGTGCCTTCCAAACTTATATTATGGAATTAAAGTTTAAAGTGTTTGATTTACATTTGGTGAACATCCCGATAGATTATTGCTAAAATGATATCTTCAATATCTTCTATACCTTAAACTTCGAGTAAATTCAATTCAAACCAAAATCTGAAGACTTGTTTACATTCCGAGCTAATCAACGACTACGTCAAAATAAGATTTTTTTAATGAACTACCGGAATAATTCATAGTTCTCATAACAAATGTTAAATTAAGTATCATTACTGTTTACAAAAGAAGCGCAACAAAAAAAACAATCCATTTGTTATTAACTCTAGCATGAAAGAGAATTTAAGGCAATTAAAGATGAAAATGAAAAGCAATTAATGAGCACTTATGTTTATTGTGAGTGCTAGACTTTAACCAATAGCCATAAAATTATATTGCACGTACTGTTTAACGCGTGATTTCAAATTCTATTTTTCGCTCATTAGCAGATGATCAACGACGTTTCACGATTGCTAAAAAATCATATGTTTGAGTACTGATAATTCAGTTCTTCCTAAAAATAAATACAATGTGATTTAATATTCTTCATATACTTAGCAGTTTATCATCATGTTCATTATTTTGCTCTTTTTTTTCGTCATGTGGAACCACGAAAATATTTTTTCTCACATGAGTGTATTAACCCATACTTTGAAGTTCCAAAAAAACTTATTGCACTTGTGTGGGTGTTGGAGAGAACTTAAGAGAGAGAACGCGTGAAATTTTACTCACACATTTTTCCGCGAAATTGTAATAAAAATCATCTGTTTGCATTAATACAAAGTTCTTCTTTTTATGTGATTTTTTTAGAGATTTACAAACAAGTTTTACTTATTGGTAAATTCTTATTAATTAAAGAGAAAGTTTGTATGCTTATTTATTATAACTAAACTATATCATAAAGAATAAATTGAATAGAATCATGTATTATTAAAATATGTGTCAATATTAACATAAAAAAGACGACTCGTCACATTATGATGATAATATATTTCATTATCAGTTTGAGATGTGTTGTCTGGGGTTTTTTTTTTGCAAGTCGTTCATGACTATTTTCAGATATGGACTATAAACAAACGTTTTCTGTAAAAAGACCTAGTAACCTAATAAATGTTTGTATAAAAGTAGGCATGTAGGCATAGTTGCTATAGTATTGTAGGTGACTTAATTAACATTTGTGTGTTTGCAGTTAAAATAAATAATTTCATAATTTTTAACTGCTTACTTTTATTTACTGATCTAAAGTTTCTCAAAATAAACATCTTTATATTTAAGCTAGGGTCGTTCACTTATTACGTAAGACAATGTTTTGAATTTTTTAAAAAAATATATGGATTGATGGAGACTGTGTCGTAGAAACTCTTTAGGGAGTTGTCAAAGAAAAGTGGAAGGTGTTTACAGTCTTTGAAACTTAATAAAGATGGAACCTATTTGAAAAACTAGTCGAGAGTAGAGCTCGAAGTCGACTCTTCGTACAAAAAAAAAAAAAATACCGAGTTGAATCCAATTCGGCTAGAGTTGACAACTCGAGTGGACTCGATCCCTATCGTCTTGGAGCTCTGGTCGAGGCAATGCCTATGTTTCTGTTAAGAAATCATAAAATCTCATATAATAAGGCGCAAATTTTTTGATTAACCTACTCAAGAATATGATTCGAAAAGGGTTACTTACAGGCGCGTAGCCAGGAGGGTCTTGCCTCCCCCCTAAACGTTTTGAGCCTCAGCGAGAGCATGCCCTAAAATGCTTAAAAGGGGGACAAGACCCTCTTGGCTACGCGCCTGGTCACTTACTTATGAAATCCGACATTTTTTTTTGGGGGGGGGGGGGGGGTACTACACTAAAAATTGAGAATCTTATTATTATTATTATTATTATTGCTTTATTCATTCTAATGTATGTAAATGTAAAGGAAGTCTGGAAGTATCAAATAATAATGGATGTCATAAATGAACTAATCCTTTGTAAGATAACAAAAAAGAGTCGATGAACTTTAGCTAGACAATTGATGTTACAATATCAAAACATAATAAACAATTAAAATCAGCTATGCTGTAAACATGCTTAATAAAAAGTACAATACCATTTTTAGAAATTCTATTTTCAAATCAGACATTTCTTTCATTCAATAACAATTACGAACCTGTTTATTCTTAAAAAGTTTCATAATAAAGTACAAACAAAACAAAAAATTAGGTGAGAATAAAGAGAATAAAGTAACGAAGAGTTTTAACATGTGAGACAAAGATGATGTTGTATGGACAATGTGTATAAACACAACATACAACTACAAAAATAAAAAGTAATGAAAGAAATAAATCTCCCTTTTGTGTATATGTCTTTTACAGCAAACGTTAACATAGATTAAAAAACTTTTCTGAGCGTAACGGAGAGAAGGAAGAGGAGAAAAAGACTGAGAATCAAAGAATGGGATAGGAAAATTCACACATAAAAATGTTTTTTTTCTGCCCCATTCTCCATTCGTACTCTTCATTCGGTGAAGGAAAGAAGTCAATTTCAAATTTAATTTGATTTCGAATTTTTTTTGTGCTGTAGATAAGACAAGCCTGTTGATTAGTGTAAAATATCAATTCCTATATACTTTATCCATTATAAAACTAATTCTCCATTACTGTTTAGTAGCAAACTGAAGCTTCAAGAGTGAACAGAAATAAAATTAAAATTTTTTTTTTCTCTACTTTTCAAGTGCAAGGTTTCGAGACAAATAAAATAAAGCATAACCAAGTGAGCAGAAGAAAAAAAATCGATATCACGCTGCGCATTCAAATGATATAATAAACAACAAAAAATTTGTGATAACAAGCATTTTACGATAGATAATAATATAGTGTTAAAAGAGCACTTCCAGCGAGGCCAACTTTTATTAAGCATTTAAAGCTACATAAATCATATCGTGCATAAAATTTGCATTACTTTTGTGGTCAATCAAAAAAAGATAAAAAAAAAATAATTAAATAAATAATCATGGCCTTAAGATGTTTAGGTGTATTGATTAACAAGGAACTGTCTGGCGGAATCGCGCGCAGACTCATCAGCACGACTGCATCACGTTCCAATTTTTTGAAAGAATCACCAAATGCATTTCTCAATAAGAATCTTTTGAATCGCTATACACGTCTAAAGTATGATCCAAAATTAGTTCAGGTAAGCAAAAGTGACTACGTGGACATGTAAAGTAATTTTTTGTGTCACATAAAAAATTATTACTACCTGTTTTTATAAAAAATAAAGTTATCGACAATTTCGTGTCTAATATTTACATCATATCTGATAAAAAAATATATATACAGGCAACATACGTCTGGATTGATGGAACTGGAGAAAATGTTCGTTTGAAGGATCGTGTACTCAATAAAATTCCAGAAAAACCAGAAGACTGCCCAGACTGGCAATACGATGGAAGTTCAACATATCAAGCACAAGGTGGAAACTCAGACATTGCAATCGTTCCACGTGCTTTATACAAAGATCCATTCAAAGTTGGTGAGCATGATGTAATTGTCCTTTGTGACACATACAAACCCGATGGAAGTCCATGTGAAACAAATCATCGTGCAGCAATGCAATCTGCCTATGAAAAAACAAAAGACGTAGAACCCTGGTTTGGCCTTGAACAGGTAAGAATTGAAAAAAAATAGTTTAAAATACTTTATGACTTAATATGACTTTGAAATGAACTTATGGGAATTTCCTTCAATTAATTTTTAAAAATAGGAATACACATTCTTGGATGTTGATGGACGACCTCTAGGCTGGCCAGTAAATGGTTTCCCAGGACCACAAGGACCTTACTACTGCGCAGCTGGTGCAGAAAAAGTTGTTGGACGAGACATTGTTGAAGCTCATGCCTTAGCATGTTTATACGCTGGAGTTGACTTCGCTGGAACCAATGCCGAAGTAATGCCTGCACAATGGGAATATCAAATCGGACCATCACTAGGAATGAAAGCTGCCGATGACCTTTGGGTATCTCGTTACATTTTATGGCGTATTGCTGAAGAGTTTGGCGTTGTTGTCACATTCGATCCTAAAGTGAGTAAAATGAAACTTTTAATTCTTCGTTAAAATTAATGTAAATCATTCAATCATTCTCATCATATAGCCAATGGAAGGAAATTGGAACGGAGCCGGTATGTAACACATGATTAATAGACTGAATCAATATATTTATTGTTATTTTTGTTTTCTTCACATGCAACAGGTGGACACACAAACTTCTCAACAGCACCAATGCGTGAAGAAGGCGGAATTAAGGCAGTTGAAGAAGCAATCATCAAGCTTTCAAAGGAACATCCAAAACACATTAAGGCATATGATCCACGTGGAGGCAAAGATAATGAAAGACGTCTTCTCGGTCGTTTGGAAACATCATCAATTGATAAATTCACATGGGGAGTTGCTGACCGTAGCTGTAGTGTGAGAATTCCACGTGGAGTTGCAAAGGCACAAAAGGGTTATTTGGAAGACAGACGTCCATCATCAAACATGGATCCCTACAGCGTCTGCAATGCTATCCTCACCACTTGTCTAGTAGATTAAAAAAAGCACACACAAAGTATCAGATGTTGAAAATTTTAATGCAGGTGAAAAAGGCACAGAAAGAAAAAATTGAAGAGAAAAAAATAATATAATGTTAATTGTGATTAAGGATGAATATATACGTAAAACGATACTCTTTTGTTCTAATTTGTTAAACGACTAATGATGAAACATGGATAATAATGTAAACGCCTTGAAGGAGATACGATTGTATCTACATGAAAATTTAATGCAGTTCTTTTTCGCATCCTACATGCTTTTATCTCACAAATGAGATTTCTTTCGAAACTCATTTTTTTATGCTGCTTTTCAAGGCTTATTTTTGTTGCTATTTCTTGTTTCCTATTATGAAATCATGGTTTCATAACTAGGCTATAAACAAGTTTAAGTCTAAACGTGATTGGTGAATGGTTAGAGTGCATTTTTTGTCTTCAAATTGAACAGGAATATTGACTGTGCTGGATTCTAAATTATATTAATTTAGCTAATATTTTTTTCAGTCAGTCGACTAATGTGAGAATATGACCGTATGTAAAATGTGCTAAAAATAGTCACCAGTCAAGTTTTTGTTATTTTTTTTCGTATATACACAGTTTAAGCCTTTTACATCAAAATATTGATGTAAAAATGATTTCAAGCAACTCATTGTCATGCCAGTAAATTAGTAAGGATCATGTTCACTTATAACGTCCGACATTTAAGGGGGGAGGGGGGTCTAGGATTTTGTGACAGTTCAAACAATGGAAATTTTTTTCTATAGAATTTTTGTGACAGAGGGGGGAGGGGGGTCTAAAAATCATGTTTTTTGATGGACGTCATAAGTGAACGATCCCTAAAGAGCATTTCTGAAAACCTTTTTTTTTTTAATTTCTGCCTTAAAATTTACTCATTTTAACTCAGGAATGAATTCTCGTCTAGAAAATGAAAAATAATGAAAAGTTTGTGTTTTTTTCGTTGCATTAACTTTAAAAAAAAACCTAGAAAAATTTTGTTAAATGAGATGTGTTCAGGCCTATGTTTTCAATGTATACTGTTTTGAATTTGTATGCAATGTCTAATCTAATGAAGATGTTAAGATAGGATATTTTTAGAAAATACTAATAAATTAACAATGTTGACTTTTATATGAATGGAATTATAAGAAAGAAAGGAAAATTGGAACAATAATAAACATTTGCAATTTATTATCGATAATACATACAGAGGACTGTTGTGTGATCATCTATATTTATACATAATTAAACTGTATTTGTATCAAATGTAGAGAAAAGAAAGAAAATATTTTGGAATGCATTTACGAGATGAATAGAAAGTTTAATAACATTAACAATTAGAAATGAAAATTTATTTTGCGAAAAATACAAAAGAGAAAAGACGTAAATCAGTTCGTTCGTGAATGACGACTTAATACCTTTAGATTCATTCAAAAATATCTATTTCTATGTAAAAAAAACTATTACACTTGAAAAAACAAATTCTCATCATTCTGTGGATTATTCAAAGACTGTAATAAGTGTTTTTAGATACCAGACACAATTCAAACTGTCCTGAAGTCAATTTTAAAATTTTTGGCATGCCTAGCACATTTTTGTCGCAAAAAGCACACAGATCTGAATCAATGACAAAAAACAATAACAGTATTGACGCAAAACTTAAGCTATTGTATCCAAGAATGTCTATCAACACTTAAAAATTATCTCACAGAATGGTATCAGGAATTGTTTTTTCAAGCGTATTGACTTTATCTTAAGCGATTACTGAGTGTAAATGAAGTCAATAATACACAAATAAAAAAGTATCAATGAAGTTCTTAAAAAAAAGTTAAAAAAAAAAACAAGAAATATTTTAGAGTTGAATATAGGAACAGTGGAGCAGTTGTGTCTATATTTACTTCAATGTCGTAATGCTTCTTTGAAGAGGAATTTTTTTTTTGTTTTGTTCGTGTTGTTGTCAAGTAGTGAAAATGAGATAAATTGTATTAATTTTTCAATATGACAGGGACAATACGTGGCACAAACGAGCCCCCGAAAAAAAATACGATGTAAAGTCCATGAGAGGAAAAGAAAACAAAAACAAGAACTTAGCAGACAATATATGATAATGAAATCAAATTTTTGTTAAGAAGAAGCAGAATGGGAAACAGGAAAGTCTAACGACAAATGGGGTCGATCACAAATGACGTCTATTAGAGATTTGGATTTTATGATTCTTTATTTCAAACCTTCATCGCTCAAGAAGAACTTAATTTCCTCTCTAGCTCCCTAGACGTCATTTATGAACAACCTTATAACAAAGTATTGCAAAATAAATTCTTTATCGTCCTTTCGATAGGTGCTGATCATTTTAAAATGATTAAAATTATCTCAACAGGAAAATTATTGAGACTTTATTGAATTATTACACTTCAACTTCTTCTTCTTCTTCTTCCATTTACCGCACACTTAAAACTTAAAAATTCATAAAAAAAAACATTATTCGTTTCGCTTAATAAGAATAAGAAATGAGAAATAAAAGAAGAAAATAGAAAAAAAGTATAAGAAAATACGTGTTTATTTATAGACCTGCGATTCTCGAATGTTTTGCTTTTCATCTCTTTTAGAAATGCGTATATTTAATATGTCAGAGCATAAGCAGGATTTACATGTATAACATTGATGAACGACTTCTTATAATGTATCCCTGAATCCGGTTCAACTTTTTTTTTTTGTTTTAAATATCTTGTGACTTTTATAGCCTCTTATCATGCTACCAAAGTCTGAGTCAATGCTTTTTTTTTCGTTCATCCTCTCTTGACGTGCTCATAAAGCGGTCATTGCTTCCACTTACATTGTCTTAATAACTTTTTGACCCAATTTTCTTTTTTACCTAAATAAATGTTCTGGTTATTGATTGGATGCTCGTGTTTCTTGTAGTTATTTCAGTTCCGACCATTGCATAATGAAAATTATTACTTTTGAACTATTTTTATATCGTGAGTATTGTTTAAGCCAAGTTCGATTGAATAAATTCTATGTAGTGCTTCTGAATGAGCTAGGCTTAGTGATTGGGGTCATTTTTGGTTCTTAATCAAACTTCCAAACTGGAATGGAACTCAAATTCATTCATTTGTATTTTTCATTATGTAAGAAGTTCGTATATTTTCATTCTGATGCCTAATCACTTCTTATGTAGCTTCCTTTATCTTCAGAAATAGTCGACTGTAAACCTTAAATCCCTAACGTGAATTTGGAACCATCATCTCACAGACTAGGTTGTTTGAATAGGCTCTATAGACACTGCAGTCAGGCTTCAGCTACTCAAGCACTTTGACTAACCATTCGAGCACTAGAAAACTACCAAACATATGGCTCTTTACCCCAGATTCAACTTAATTCCGACACTATAGCATTGTATTGAATATTAATGTGTATGCAAATTTATTAATGTTTCAGCTAAAAGTTCCAACAACACAGCCATTTCATAACTTGCCATTTTTCTAGCTGCTATTATGCAAATACTTTAAAGTTCATGTACATTTGTCACATTTACTTTAATTGGATTTCAAGAGTATGGAACTATGTGAAAAATTGTAGTGCCAAGTATTTGATAACAACAGCACTTACTAAGCAGTAATAAAAATCCAAGTTGATGAAACGTAAAACTTCAATTAAAAATCGTAAAAATCAATTTAAACAAATTATCCAGAAAGATGTGCCCAATAAAATATGTTGGTTATGTAACCAAATACGCAGGCTAATGGAGCCATAAGAAAATAATAAATACAAAATGTAACCTTGGCATTGACTTCTTAAAAATGATGAACAATGAACTTTTAAAGCTGTCATTTTTAAGAAGTCAGTTTTATTTCTTTAAGAACTGTCTTAAATATTTGTGCGGACCAGTTCTCAGAAGAAATCAACTTGGACAAATATTTTGTCTAATTTATTGCAATAGCTTGTTAAATCTTTGATAATAATCGTGACTATATCTTTAACACCTTGTTTAATTTCAGAACGCACTTCCTTTAACATCATATTGATGTGGCTGATCAACTTATGAAGTTCTTTTTATGTCTAGCTTATGAATTTAGGTCCAATTTTGGCTGATCAACCTATGAAGTTCTTTTATGTCTAGCTTATGAATTTAGGTCCAATTTATATTTATTGACATAAATATGAATCAATTCTCAGAAAAATTCAGCTCAAAAGCAACATTGTAAGCAAAGCAAATCGATGGCTTCTGAAATAGGAACTGATCATTACATAAAGATGTTAAAGACGAAGTTCAGAATAATTTTTATTTTTAGAACTATTAGGTAACTTTAAAACTTTTTGTTGGTATTTGAAATAAACCTGAAAATCAACCTTACTGAGAAGTTAATGTCCAGAATTAATTTTTTTTATTTAATAGGAACTGCTTGACGCCATTAAAAGTGGTTTCATCATATCAATTACCTTGATAATCACCTTGAGATAAAATTTCACACTTGCAGTCAAATTCATAAAGTTTCAACAAGTTCTGAATAATCGCGTATCACAAAATTTATGACATTAAGATAAGATTATGTAAGGTCAATTATCTTTCCACTTTAATATGTCAGCTATTGGTAAACTGGATTAAGGTACTGAATGTGTAACATGGAAATCTATTTTCGAATACAGAAGAACCTTAAACAATGATAAAGAATAGATCTTCAAGAGATCATTCGAGATTAGCAACAAATTATACACTTTTTTATAACCACAGCATCTAATACGCCGCAGATCTAACTTTTAAGTTTGTTGCCTTGGTAATTAGTAATATCATTCTTATTCAGGATAAACTATTGTGATTATAAATAAATATACCGGAAAATGTTATTTTAAAGTTATGTGAACAAAGGATTTCCCTACAATGAACCTCTATTTATTTCAAGAACAAAAGGAAGTCTTAAAACGCTTGCCTCAGTAATCTAGCAATACGATTATCATAATCAGCATATAAACTTAATTAGTCGATGACATTACAGAATCTAGTACTGAACAGAAATCAATACTGAACTTCATATTTATTGCAAAATTGTACAAAAATTTTTTTAATCGATTACGCACGTCATTTAATAATAAAACTAGCTGAAGTGCTTTGAAGTGGTTTCTTCCAAAATAAAATACTAACTTGACACGATAGCAACGCCTGAAGAAATTGAAACGAAACGTTGAGATTGTATTTTTTTATCAATCGGTCAATCTTATCAGTTTACATAAATTTTATGAGCCTGTTTTTGCGAAATCACTGACTTTTATACTCATTTTTACGACTAGCCGTAAAGACTTGATGTTTTCTTTGAAAAACTGCATAATTATCAAGTTGTAGATTGTCATGAAGTGATTAAAAAATAGATTTGATCAAGCTTTTTATGAAACCTTTAAGAATAGGACTAAAAGGATTAGAAAAAAGGAATATAAATAATGATTTATAAGGATCTGCTTCTTAGCTTCAAGTAAAGAGTCAATTTCTGATTTATCTATTTTTTATAATCCTGGCTTCGATTTAGGAAGGTTTTGCGCTTACGAATAAACCATCGAAAGTATAAGCTTAAAACTGCCGTTTAAGGAAGGTCATGCGACTCAACTTAGTTGTAAACTCAGTAACATAAGGATAGAGATTACAAAACTCTTTCTTAAGAACCCTTAAACAATT